CCCACCTTGGCCTCCCAGAGGGCTAGGATTACAAGGCGTGAGCCACCGCGCCTGGCCTTCTTCTGATGTTTTAAGATTCATTTTGTTTTTCCTGGATATCTTTTATGCCCCTCTGGTAATGCTTAATTATTTACTTTTTCTCGTATATTAAACATTTGATGTGATTATTATTTGTAGATGTCATTTGTCAGAGTGCATCGTTACGGTCCCCGGGGAGGCGGAAGAAAAGCACTGAAAGTAAAGAAGAAGAAAACTTCGGTGAAACAAGAATGGGATGTAAGTCTAGGTGGGATAGTAAGCAATACAGCATTCCTCTGGAGCAACAGACACGGTGACATGGCCCTAGTCACTCAGGACGGTGTTCTGAATGGGGCTCAGCTTATCATAGGGTGGAATGGGTTTCTGGGCATGTTATATCCTAGGTCTTGGAGGGAAGAGCAGAATCCTTTGGGGAGATTTTTAGAATACACATGTGTAGGCTGTAACCTGTATCTCCTTTGAAGAATTAGAATCTTAAAGGGGTGGGGAACATATTTTAAAAAGTCTCCTCTCCTCTACTTTGATTGAGAACTCACTGCATTAGGCAACTCTAGCTCACCTGTGTCACTGAAGTTTGTGAATTTTTTTGGTACCTATTTTAGATTTTCCCACAGCAACCAGTGATACCATAATCATATGAGTGGCATTTTTGGATGAAAAAATAGATGATGCTTGCTGTCTTATCCCTTGAATTATTTGCTGCTTACCTCCAGGGCTTGGTCAGTTTCAGTCCAAAGGTTCTCTTAAGATATAAGACAAGTCTCAAGTATCTGGGACATATGATCTCCGGCTCCTAACCTGAATAACACCTGGTATTACCCAGGAAATTTATATTTTCTACAGCTTGATACTTTGGTTTGGACCATGAGATTTTAAATGCCTTTATTTTCTGTTGTGGAGAGTAACTAGTCAGGGACTAGTTTGAATCTCAGGGATTCTTTTGGACTTGGAACCTTCTGGTTTGCAGCTGACCACCTTAGCCAGGAATTCTGGGCAAACTGACAGCTTTTGGAAGTGGAGCAGGGGTACTTCTCTGTGTTTAAATTGTTTTGTTGTCATCTGATTGACTGTAAAAGTTGTGACTCTAAGATAATGAAACTGATTAAAAGGGGGAAAAAGTACATGTAATGTAAGTGTTATCCCCTTCAATGGTTACTTTGGGAAGTTCAGTACAGTTGACTGTTGAATAACAGGAGTTTGAATTGTACAGATCCACTTATATGCAGAATTTTTTCAGTAAATACAGTCGGTCCTTTGTATTTGTGGGTTTTGCCTCCACAGCCAAAGGTGGATTGCAAATACAATATTTTTGGGATGCAAAACCTGCACATACAGAGGGCTGACTGCAGGACTTGAGTGTGCATGGATTTTGCTGTATGCCAGGGTCCTGGAACCAATCTCTTGTAGATACTGTGGGATGACTATATTTATTCCTATATGCTGCAATTGTTCAAAACTAAATCGAAACCCATTATTTGAAATTGCATTAAAAACCTTCCTTGCTTTACATTTTATCTCCAGTGCTGGAAATATTTTGTTTTTTGAAGGTAGACTGAACACAGAAAATAGTCATAAGTCATTTGCAGTGAATGGGAAATGAGGGAGAAGAGATCAAACTGATTAATATTGTTTTGATAAAAATAAGTGAGGCATTTTCTAAAATGGCTTGTAAATTAGATTTAAAGGCAATTTCGAAAGAAAATACTTTTAAGCACAGTAGTATTGATGAATATTATATTTTCTTCCATGAGAACTAATTCTAAGCACATCCCTGCTCATTTGTATGCCTGAATTTTTTTGTGATTATTAAAAACAATTCTCATGATCCTATAGTTTTACCTTGTACCTGTCTTTCTTTCTTTTTTTTCTCTTAGAGACAGGGTCTTGCCATGTTGCCCAGGCTGGCCTCAAACTTCTGGGCTCAAGAGATCCTCCTGCCTCAGCCTCTTGAGTAGCTGAGACTAGTGCCACTGTGCCCAGCTTATGCCTTGTACCTTTCTAGATCAATGTAAAGGGAATAACAGTTTTCGTACAGAAAAGCCTTGAGCTATAGTAAATAGAAATCATGGCCAAAAAGTTTAGTCTGTGAATACATCAGAAGCTATTTTGACTTAGTTCTCTTTGTATTTCCCATCAGTTAGAAGTAAAACTCTTAACTTGTTTTATTTCCTACCTTGCCAAATCTGTGTAGCAAAATGGCTGAAATAGTTTTGGAAAGGGCTAAGTTGCGGGGCTGCTACTTAAAGCTGTGTAGGCTGTATACCACACAATTCCAAGGGCTGCTATTTACATGGACTCGGATATTAATGGTACCTCCTGGAATTGTGCAGTGTGGTAGCCCTGTCATGTTAGTTTCGTTTCTTTTTATTTAAGTGACTATTTTTACATTTTATGAAATTTTACATTGCCCTCAAACTTCATCTCTCATTGTATTAATAGTAGGTTCTGTGCTTAAGGTGTTTGTAGATATAAATTGAACCTCTCTATGGTGATCACATCTTGTTTTAGAAATCTTTAGAGTTGGCTCGTGGAATCCTGGGATTTCATGGAATACTCATTTTGAATAATTACTACTCTCTTTTATTCATTTTTTTATATAATATATGCCTGTTTGGTAAATTCAGTGCTTATTTTCTTAGACACCTAAAAATAGTCTTTTATTTTCTATAAG